ATCAGGACAGGATACACCAGGAATGTTGTTAAGCAATAACTTCCAAGAAGACACCTCATTCTCCAACTTGTCAACGCTTATCTGCAATTCAGGCAATTTTGATAACTCAGATTCTGCTCTCTCCCTACGGCTTTTTTCTTCCAGTAATTTCACTTTCAACAACTCAGCATCTAACTGCTGTGATTTGAACTTTCTAGCTTCTCGCACTTCAGCTTCCTGATACAATTATTCAGAACCAATATTGTTAAGAAATAAAATACGGAAATTAGCATAACAGTTTGCCAAACTTACACAGCGCTTAAGTTCCTCCTGAAGAGTTTTAACCAATACATTGTTATCTGAAGGAGAAGCTGCTTCAGAAGTGAATGTCGAAAGCTTCTTGTATACTTCAGTTTTTTCGTGCAAACACTGCAAACAAACAAACAAAAAAAATCAAATGAGTCAGCGAGAAATCTACCAAAGTAGTTGACAACTTATAAAGACCTGTTTTATCATATTTAACATTTACGTCAAAAGCAGCTTACCTCGTCAAATTTCTGTTTAAGATCCTCCAGCTGTGATCTTAAGAGATCTGACTCCGCCTCGGCATTTTGTGCTCTGCATTGCATCCTTTCAAGCTAAAAAGCAAAGAAAAACTCCAGTCAAGATATGATGAGAAACAAGCCTTGAGTCAATACATCAAGTCTCCTAATTGATACTTACATCTGCACCAATTCTAGATACAGAAAGCTTTGCTTCTTTACCCAGGTGGGCAATATCATTGTTCAGACGTTTTCTCTCCCTGTCCACACTACCAGACAGCTGACTTAGTTTTTCTTCCAAAAGTTTAGCTTTTTCTTCTGCTGTTGCAGCCGAAGACTCAGCTTTCTTTCGAAGGTTCATTTCACTTTGAAGCTTTACCTGGTGAGAAAAGGATTATGTTAATGATATTGCCACCAATTACAACAAATTAAAATGACAGATGAACAACCTCCAGGTCATGGCAAGACTGTAGGTCTTTTGTATAACGCTCTTGAGAATTATTCATCTCCATTAGGAGCTGCTCCTGAAGCACCTTTTCACGCCCTTTAGCAGCAGCAAGTTCTTGCTCAGAGTATAAGAACTTATCTCTAAATTCCTTTCTTTCTTCGTCTGTTGTTGTAGTATAAGAAACCAAATCAGCTGCCAGAACCTAACTAGCATTTCGAATCAAGACTCATTCTAATTTCAAAATGAAAAAAAAATAAAAAACCACAGACCTGCTGCGGTGAAATTCTGATTAAGAGTCTGTAACATGGTCTGATACTCCTGCGTTTGTTTTTCTGCTTTGCTTAAGGCATCCAAAACTTCAGCCTTAACCTATAAACAACGATAAAACCTTTAGATTTGAGCACCGATGAGATTAGCTCGGAAGAAGATATGAGTAATAACCATTTGGCGGCACTGATAGGTGCAAAGGTACTGATCGGAATGGTCATGAGAAGTGGTTTGAAGCGGAGCAGGAAGAGGAGAATCTTCGAAGATAACGAGCTGGCTCCCGGTGGTAGCGACACCGGTGGGGGTGGAGCTGCCGCCGGCGTCGGACCGGGGCTTCTTCGGCGGAGGAGTCCTCAGTATCATGCTGGACTTTAACAAAGAGGGTTACCAGAAGAAATCTAGCTTCTCCGATTTGAAAACCAAAGGGGCCACTGCCTCGAAAACCGACGAAGTTTTGATGAGAGAGAGAGGCGTTCGGACGAGGAAGGAAGACGGTCTCTCGTCAATATGTAACCGCATTTTTGAATGGGCCGTTTCTTAATGGGTCTACGATCGTGGGCTAACATCAGCACGTTTTCACATCAAGATTAATTTCGTTAGTCCCAGGTCTTTTTAGTGGGGTTATTGGTTCTAGGATTTTATAGATTTAGAAATCCTTTTTGGATTTTGCAATTTTTGACAAATCCACACATTTTATAATCAAATACGTAGATTTCAGAATCAATGAAATAGATTTCAAAATCAATATAATTGAATTATTAGAAATCAACGAAATGGATTTGTGATAAACGCAGCTTTGTAACAAAAGAAAAAATATATAAAACTACAACATATGGTTTATCGTTTTCTATATCTTATGTTATTATGATAACATAAAATATATCACATACTTGTTATTATTACCTTTCTTACTTGATTGACATATTCTGTTTGTTGATTTTCAGTTCCAGTAACTTTCTCAAAATCTTTTCCTTCATAAAAAAATTTTTATTCAGAAAAGTTATCGATTCGTCAGACGTTTTTAAAAAGACTACACGTAAACTAACACACAAATATTCTCTCCGTTTGTGTCTTATAAGCAAAAGGGGATGCACATTAAAAATTAAAAATCGAGATTTGAATATATCAAAATTTCTTAACATTTTTCAGAAAAACATGATGATGGTAAACAACCCTTTGTCATTTATGGAGTAGAATCTCCAGAAAACATTTGTACACCAAAACTATTATGAGAGATCTTTGGTAAATTTTTATATTAACGTTTACGTGTACGTAAAGCTAAGTTAGAGATGGTTGGTTAATATATTAGTATTTGCTTATTATTAGAGAAACATTGATAATATGTACGTAAAACTTGGGGCAAGAAAACAATTATTAAGAAAATCAATAATACACTATCAAAATAACAAGGTTCAACTCAATATTTGTTTTTTTGTATTTTTAACTCACAAATCCACTCAAATCTATTTTAAAATCAAATCCTCAAGCAAATCATTATTATTGAATAACGCCTGATTTTAAAATCTATTTTAAATTCATAGAACTAATAACAATGAATTTGAATATAGATTTTAAAATCATAGAACCAATAACAATGAATTTGAATAGGGATTTTAAAATCATAGAACCAATAACATTATATTTGATTTGTATTTTCAAATCCACTAAAATATACAAACCAATAACACCCTCTTAGTTTTTTTTATTTATATACACTAGAGCGTTTTCCGCGCTACGCGCCGATAGTTACTTTTATATTTTATTGTTGATTTTCTGTTATATGGATATTATAGAATATAATTGTACTTTTCTATACCATTATTTAAGAAGTAAATTTCCTTAGTTGTTATGATCTCTATAAGTTTAGGTAATTTTGTTTATTTATCATATTTTTAATATTTATATATAACTGATTTATAAATAAAGCAAATTTATATGAATATATCATATTTTAGAAAATAAGATAATCTTGTGAATTATGTTGTTATCTTGAAATATATTTTTTATATAAAACTTAAATTTTAAATTAAGATATCAAAATTATTATATTTATTATATAACTAAAACAAATTTATATTAATAATTTTATATTTTTCTAAAATAAGATAATTCTTATGTATTATGTAGTTACGTTGAAAATATATTTTCATATTAAAAAAAACTTTAAATTAAGATATAAAATTTATATTATTAAGAATTAAATATAAATCATCAAAACAATTATTTGAAAAATGAATTTGTTGATTTGTCTCCATGATCCTATGTAATTTTGATCATTTATCAGAATTTCTCTAATTTTGTTTATTATTGATTTTATAATTAAAAATAATTTATATTAATAATATGATATTTTAGAAAATAAGTTACTTCTTATGTATTATGTTGTTATCTTGAAAATATATTTTTCAATTATAAAATTTAAAATTCTTATACTATTATTTAAGAAGTTAATTTGATGTTTGTTGATTTGTCATATTTTCCATGATTTTAGGTAATTTTAATAATTTATCATAATTTCTATAATTTTATATATGATTTATTATATATTTAAAACAAATTTATATTAGTAGTATCAGATTTTAGAAAATACGATACTTCTTATGTATCNTAATTTTAATAATTTATCATAATTTCTATAATTTTATATATGATTTATTATATATTTAAAACAAATTTATATTAGTAGTATCAGATTTTAGAAAATACGATACTTCTTATGTATCAAGTTGTTGTCTTGAAAATATATTTTTCTACTAGAAATTTAAAATTAAGGTATAAAAATTTTAGTTGTCCTATAATTGAAATAAACCTACACTAATAATAATAGTATACTTTTATAAAATAAGGTAATTCTTATGTATTATGTTGTTATCTTGAAAATATATTTTTATATTATATAATTTAAAAGTAAAATATAAAATGATATATTATTAATTAATTAAATATAATTCATCACTCAAGAAAAAATATTTAAGAAGTGAATTTGTTGATTTATTAAGTTCTCCATGATTTAGGTAATTTTAATTATATGCCTAATTTCTATATTCTTATATAATTATTATATAATTAACACAAATTTATCCTATTAGATTTTTAGAAAATAAACAACTTATGCATTATATTTTCATTTTGAAAATATGTATTCTATTGTAAAATGTAAAATTAAGATATAAAATGTAACCGCATTTTTGAATGGGCCGTTTCTTAATGGGTCTACGATCGTGGGCTAACATCAGCACGTTTTCACATCAAGATTAATTTCGTTTGTCCCAGGTCTTTTTAGTTTTTTTATTTATATACACTAGAGCTTTTTCCGCGCTACGCGCCGATAGTTACTTTTATATTTTATTGTTGATTTTCTATTATATGGATATTATAGAATATAATTGTACTTTTCTATACCATTATTTAAGAAGTAAATTTCCTTAATTATTATGATCTCCATAAGTTTAGGTAATTTTGTTTATTTATCATATTTTTAATATTTATATATAATTTATTTATAAATAAAGCAAATTTATATGAATATAGGGAATTTGTGAAAAATACCACTTTCCTTGTACACATTTTCAAAAATAGCTTAACCATATTTACCATTAAAATTTTAGTAACCAAAATACTATTGTACCGTTCAGTTTAGTAACCTAACCTAAATCCATTTTTCTTCCACGACGAGGTAGGATAACATCTCCGGCGAACTCCGACGAACTTAGCACTCTACATCACCTCCGTCGGTGGCGTCGAGGACGATAGATTGGGAAGGGATGGCGAAGGTCCTTGTCACCGATGAGGCTCGAAGAGAGTTCTCTAACCTCCGTCGCGCTTTCGATGAGGTCAACACGCAGATTCAGACTAAGTTCAGTCAGGTTATTCTTCCGATTTTTCCTTTTCTCTTGTTGAATCTGTGTGTATTAGAGATCTTCATCATTTGAAATTCGAAGATTAGTAATCTGGATCAGGTGTGATTTCGATTTGTTCTGAGATTGTTGGATATTTCTTTTGAATCATAGTTGATAAGATCTGTTTTATTAAATTGCTATTTTGCTCATATGCATATGCATTGGTAGCGTTAGTTATACGTTTGCATTGATCATTGTTTTGTGTATTGTTGTTATCCTTATCGTACTTTTGTTTCACTGAATTGCTATTTTCTAAGAAGGCGTTTATGCTCTCGTTCTTGTTGTTATGTGTTTTAACTATTAATTTAGAACAGCCCATAAAAGGGAAGTGAATGTTCCTCATGTAACTTGTCACACATACTAACAGCTGAGCAACAAGTTTCATGTTCCAAACAAACCAGGCAAGAAACTTCTAGAAAGTAGAGCTTTTAAAACATACCATGATCATAGCAACCAAGCAATGGAGGTCGATGAGAAACCTACTCAAGATTACAATGACATTGGAGGATTAGAGAAGCAGGTTAGTTTTACATGACAATATGTTTCTATAGACAAAGTGACAATCTTCTATTTACTAAAAACAGTTTACTTGTGGTGTTTTGTGGAACATGTTATAATGGAAACCATTTCTTATTCTTTGAATTTCAGATATGTTTTGGACTCGCAGAACATGAAGAAGTTTTTTTACTACATACAGCTACCCAATTTCGACATTGCTGCTGATGCTGCTGCCACTTTTAAGGTTATTGTACTCTGCAACATTTTTGGAGATTTTTTCCTACAATTATGATTTTAGATTTTCTGTAAAACACGCCATCATAATATCTCTAGTTCTGTAAATTGTGTTCTTGTAGGAACTTCTGATAAGGCACAAGTCTACAGTGGCTGAGTTTCTCATCAAGAACGAAGACTGGGTAAGTTCTCTTACAATGTACCAAATCATATGCGGAATGGATATGATTCTCAGCTATTTTGGTTTACAGTTTTTTGCAGACTACAATTCAAAGCTTCTTGAATCAAGTAATTATATTACCAGACGGCAAGCTATTAAGGTAGAGTAACTTAGAGGACTTGTGATATGGAAATGAAAAAGAAAGCAGTTTCAAAGCATTCTGATTTATTATAGTGTGTACTTGTTTACAGTTGTTGGGAGATATATTACTGGATCGGTCAAACTCTGCTGTGATGACGAAATATGTGAGCTCAATGGATAACTTAAGAATTCTCAGAGTATGGTGCTTTCCTGAATTATTTTATCATCGATGTTTGGCTCTGCCAAACTGATTTAGTAATGAGACTAACTTGAGCTTCTGGATGAAAACGCACTTGCAGGAATCAAGCAAGATTATTCAGATAGACGCTTTCCATGTTTTCAAGGTATCTTTCTTGTACTCTGTTAGACAAGGAGTAGTTTTAACGAAGATTACAATGACATTGGAGGATTAGAGAAGCATGTTAGTTTTATTGAAGCAGGTTACTTTCTTCTTATAACCACTTCAGGTTAGATATTGTTCCTGCTTAAGAGGGCATTAATTGTTAGCTGTTGATTTTTGTCATATGGACCAAACTGGGTTTAAAAATCTGTGGAGTCCCTCAATTCCACCTTCTTATAAGTCTCAATGGTAGTCTTTGGAGGTTCTTTGCAGAAAATCAAAATGAGAACATGTGTCAAGACGTCAGATTTCCTAGTTGGTCAGTTGACAGGTTTCATAGGAGGCTCACATATATTTTAGTTGCAGGTTTTGCAGAGAGTGGTTGAGGCGCTGAACTGGAAATCTGAGATTATCATGGTCTTAAAATCGCAGAGAGCTTTGCAAGTCAAGCTGAAGTGAGAATATGTACTTTCTTGAAGAGGTTGTGTTAAGTTTCCGTTGCAACTACTGATATACCCTCACAACGATATGCTCACATCAAGATGGAACATGAGAATTGCTTGCAAGTGTTAAGAGAAGAGTTGTTCAAGGTTCTGTGCTTACGTGGCATATTTGGTATGTGATAGCTCTGCTTTAATTTGCTGATTTTAAGAAGTTGTGATGACATGTTGTTAACATGAGGCAAAGTTTCCAAGCAAGAAAAGGCTAGCTATCAAAAGTTGAAAAAGAGTTTTTGGGTGGTTACAAGTGTGTAACTTGGAGATCAAGCAACATGTGTGTTGGCTTGAGTCTTAACGATGGTTAGAAATTGGTCAGTCGAGATACACCGGTGTTTGTAGTCTCATAAACCTGATGAATGACTTTTATTAATTTATTTATAAGTATTTATAATTTTATTTATTAGTATTTATAAATTGATTTATAAGGGTTTATAAATTGATTTATAAAGGTTTATGAATGGATTTATAAAGGTTTGTAATGATTTATAAATGGATTTATAATGATCTATAAATTGTTTATAAACTCGTTGGAAGGAGGATTTTGACAGAGTAATGGTTGGACCTACACTGACCATCTCTAACAAATGCTTTCTTCTCTCTGTATTGTCTTTTGTTCATGACGACAGTGAAAGTTTAAGAAATATGATAAGCCAAACACTGAGTTACGAATTGGCGCCAGTTTATCACTCTTCTAATGGCTCGGCCCCTTTTGGATTGCTTTCAAAATCCGCATCGTTTGCATTTTAAGTTGAGTCCTAAATCCGTAGTGCTTTTGTTCAGATCTTGTTGCACTATTTTTTCTTCTCCCTGCTTAGAAACTCATGAGAGGTTTATTATCTATTTGCGTAAACAACATAAGATCACTACTTCAAATGGACTTTAGGTATATTAATCAAATTTGCAGCGTGTATATAAAAAATATAATTCATGTGATTTTGGTTAGAAAGTGATTTGGAAAATATTTAAGTGATTTTATAAATCCTTATATATTTATTTAAATCCTTGTAAAACTATTATTAATGATTTTATACTTATATCAGATCAGGAATTCTTTACATACAACTATATAAAATAAGACAAAAACAGTAGCTTGCAAGAAAGAGAAAGCGAATTTCCAAAGTTAGATAGAAAAGAAAAAAAATAAGATATTTATTGTAACACTCAACAGAAATACATCATCTCTCCCGTTAGAATTATTTAAAATGCTAATTCAATAGTAGAAAATTTCAAATTTCGTTTAGTTTTATTATTATAAAAAGAAAAGACTTATTGTAGATCACAAGCTAAATGATTTATAAACCTTTATAAATGATTTATAAATCCTTATAAATGATTTATAAACCCTTATAAATGATTTATAACCTTTTATAAAATGTTTTAAGACTTTATAATTGAATTACCTTTAGAATTTCTACAAATCCTTATAAATAATTTTATAAACCCTTATAAATAATTTTATAAATTCTTATAAATGATTTATAGAATATTATTAAAAGGTTTTCTATATATTCTTATAAATTATTTATCAGCTCTTTAAAATAGTTTAGAAAAATTTATAAAGGGCTTTTAAACCTTATGAATAGTTTATAAATCCTTATAAAATGATTTTATAGATTCTTATAAACCATTTTATTAATTCTTCAAACAACTTACAAATCTTTATAAACTATTTCAGTAAAACTGTTTGTTATTTCAATAAAGTATGATTTTCTTTTAAACCAATTTACAAACCTATATAAACCAATTATACAACACTTATAAATAATAAGAAACTCTTATTTAATGGAAACATTTTTATAAGAGTTGATAAATTTATACAAACCCTTTTAAATTCTTACAAATGAAATATCAAGTTTTTGCACATCTATAAGATTTTATTAATTTATTTATAAGGGTTTATAAATTTATTTATTAAAATTTATAAATTGATTTATAAGAGTTTATAAATTGATTTATAAGAGTTTATAAATTGATTTAGAGTGGTTTATAAATGGATTTATAAGTGTCTATAAACTAATTTATTTATAAGGGTTTATAAATTGATTTATAATGGTTTATAAATGGATTTATAAGTGTCTATAAACTAATTTATTTATAAGGGTTTATAAATTGATTTATAATGGTTTATAAATGGATTTATAAGTGTCTATAAACTAAATGGATTTATAAATGGTTTATAAATGGATTTACAAACCATTAAAAATTGTTTTATAAACCTTTTTAAATGGTTATAGATATTCTTTTAAATGATCTAGAGACCTTTTAATTGTTTTCTAAACCTATTATAACTTGTATACATACCCCTAATAAATTGAATATAATTTTTGTAACTTTATAAATTGATTTTATAAATGGTTTATAAACCTTTAAGAATAAAAACCCAAAACAAAGGGCCACAGGTTGTACATTTATTTTTTCAGAGTTGATCAATAAATTAAATATTTCAAAAGAGAAGATGATTAGAAGTAGGAGAAAGAAATATCATCTGATAGGAGAAGATTCAACACAAATGATAAAAGAGTGGTTGCACTCATCTGTCTACGTAAGGTCCATTTTCTAGCTCTGCTCGCTGTTCCTGCAAAGTTTAAAATTTAGAAGTTCTGGAGGATCAAACTTTGTAACTACGTCTCTATGTTATAGGGGTACATAACTAGTTAAGACAAATAAACTGCACACTCGCTAGTTACAATATGAACACAGTTCATCAGAGTCATGTGATCACATAAACTTACATGAAGTGACCATATATTAGCAACTAAACATGAAAATCAAGTGTTTCATATAAACTCAAGAGTTACCTTCAGCCGAGATTCCTCAAGTCTTTTAGTCAACATTAGTTCCTGAAATCACATAACCTTTATCTGTTAAAAATACAAACATGTTTTATAAAAAAAAAATGATATTACTTTCGCTCTCTCACAGATACTAGTGAGAAATTTAGTTGCTTCTCAAGGTGTTGCAGCTATTTCAAGCTCAGAGGATTCAAACGCTTACCCTGTAGTTGTCTGCAAACACACACAAAAGACAAAACCATATAATATAAGACACAAAGTGGTGGATGGTTGGAGAAAAAAAAAGAACCAAGTGAGATTAGATAGGTTGCATACAAGTGTTTTTCTTGAAGCTTTGAAATCTCTTCCTTTAAAAGATCCAACTCTGAACACTCCTCCTGGTTCTAAACAGAGTTTTGATGCATCAAGACAAAACAATAAAAACACTAGAGGTTGAGTCCACCCTCGCATCAGATAATTCACCACCTACTCGTTATCATATTCAAAAAGGGTTCACTATTCATATCCAAAGCAACGCTCCACAGGCCTTGAGAACAGACGGGTAAGTAAACGCATCCGGTTTAATTCCTTTACTAACCATTCGCTTGTAAGCAGAGACTGCCTCAACAAAACGTTTGTTCCTAACATAAGAACCGATGAGCACATTCCACGGCAAGGGATGGAAAACGCCGCCAGATCTCTCAGTAAAGGTCTGAGCTTCATGAAGGAGATTAAAGGCAGAGTAGAAAGTAACAAGCTTTGAGACCAGAACATGATCAAACTCCAGACCTGAGGAGATACAATGAGCATGAATCTGCTGCCCTGGAAGAAACTCATTAAACTCCACGAAGGTGGATAAAAGGGAAGCAGCAGATTGCAAAACCAATTCATGAGAACCAGACTGGTGACGACGACCAAGGAGAAGAGAGAAAGCTCTGAAACCTTCAGAGAGACGACCTTGGGAGATGAAATGTCTGAGAGATTTGAACAGGGCAACCGGAAGAACTACTGAAGTTTCATCGATGTTGTGTCTCAGTGGCTGCTGTTTCCAAGATTTGGGAACGTGGGTTGCTGCAAAGTAGAGAGCTACATACCCCCAAATGTACACTGGCTCACCAATAACCTATAAAACAAACACCACACCATACTCTTAACGACTCAGTAACTTAGAGTTTCTGATATTTTTGACAGATAATGTATATACCTCTTCTACAATATACTGAACTTTTTCCCTCCAGAGATCAAGGGAGTATACAAGTTGATCAGCCCATGGTTGAGCTTCATCACCAAATCCCCAAAACGATTCATTATCTTCAGACACGGAAGTACTAGTAACAGAACTAGTAGTAGTAGTAGGATCTTGAGTGGGGAGAGACAACCCTTGACCAACAAAATCAACAGCCCAAACTCGATAATCCTTCCCAAATCAGTAAGCTGCTTCTCATAGTGAAACGAACCAACACCAAGAAGCAAAACCGCAGGAGCCTCCACGTTTTCACAACCAGATTTCTCATAATGTACAGTGAGGTTAGGCTTCCACTCACACTGAGAAGTGAGAAGTAGTGATCTCCGCAGAAGCAGCTTCACCGTTTGATTGGTCAGGCAAACCAGGAATCAAAAGCTTAGACTTTGAGTCTCCTCTTCTAGCTAAACTACTCGAGTCTTCACTCTCATGTCAAGGATCTCCCCACAGATATATCATCAAAAGAGCCGTTCAGAGTAGACTGCAGCAAAAGGAAAGGTCAATTCGATTACAGAGAAGGCATTCTCCTGCTATTATTGGAACATCATTACATTTCCTTAACACCCGCAATGAGCCAGCAAAGAGACAGGTAGGTTACACACGGCTTTGTCAGATTGTGGAGTTTCTGTTTTGTCGAATCTTATGGTTTATTGTTTCAGGTATCCCCAGTACGCAAAAGCCACGCTCTGTCAAGCTTGTTACTCCTCTCTACGCCTCACTAGCTCCTTGGAGAAGAAGGCCCTCGAGCTTTTCAATGCCATACCAAAACTTTTTTTTGTCACTTCACCTTAGATTCGAGCCTGACATGGTAACATACAGCAGATGTGAATATCCAAACCTATCCGCTTCATTTGTGGCTGCTATCAAAGCTGCTGGAGGAGACAAAAAGCCATGGATAGGAGAGATAGCTCAGAGCTGGAGAAAGCGAGGCAAGTGCCCTTTGACTCCTAACGAAACAGTCTTGATGCTGCAATCACTAAGAATCCCAACAAGCACAAACATATACTAGCAGCTGGAGACGGTCTGATGGAGATGGAAGGTTTCACATCCGTTTATACAAAAGTTTTCACCAAGTCTGCTATGCTAAACCATGAAGATTTCACTACAAAACAAAGATTAAGATCATAGTTGGCATAAAAGGAGCTCACTTGCGCAAGAAAACATAATCAAAAGACAGGAACAAGCAGATCAGATAGATTATTAAGTAAAGGTACGGTTTTTCGATCATAAACAGCGCGCATCAGTGAAACAATACGGTACGAGATTGTTCTAGAAACACGATACAGAATAACACACATGGATCGACGCAAAAAAATTCCAATAGAAAACAGAGATCAACGAAGAAGATCAATCAGGAACTGGATAACAAATAAACACGATGATCTAAATGGAATCAATAAACACGATGATTTACCTGTACGAAGAAAACAATTCGTAAAAGAATCTCCGGATTCTCTGCAATGTCTTTCGTTGTCGTTGCCTGAGACAGAGAGACGTTGCCTGAGACGTCTGAGAGAGACGGCCATCTAGCCGAGAGAAAGAAAATAGAACGGAAGATAGGGGAGGCTAGTATTGTCTTCTTGTCATTAATGAATTGTATATTTATGAAAATGTCCCTTTAGTTGTGGTAATGTTGAATTGTGGTATCACAAAAATGGTAATTGTGTAATTGTCCCATGAATATATCATATTTTAGAAAATAAGATAATCTTGTGAATTATGTTGTTATCTTGAAATATATTTTTTATATAAAACTTAAATTTTAAATTAAGATATCAAAATTATTATATTTATTATATAACTAAAACAAATTTATATTAATAATTTTATATTTTTCTAAAATAAGATAATTCTTATGTATTATGTAGTTAGGTTGAAAATATATTTTCATATTAAAAAAAATTTAAATTAAGATATAAAATTTATATTATTAAGAATTAAATATAAATCATCAAAAAAATTATTTGAAAAATGAATTTGTTGATTTGTCTCCATGATCCTATGTAATTTTGATCATTTATCAGAATTTCTCTAATTTTGTTTATTATTGATTATATAATTAAAAATAATTTATATTAATATTATGATATTTTAGAAAATAAATTACTTCTTATGTATTATGTTGTTATCTTGAAAATATATTTTTCTATTATAAAATTTAAAATTCTTATACTATTATTTAAGAAGTTAATTTGATGTTTGTTGATTTGTCATATTTTCCATGATTTTAGGTAATTTTAATAATTTATCATAATTTCTATAATTTTATATATGATTTATTATATATTTAAAACAAATTTATATTAGTAGTATCAGATTTTAGAAAATACGATACTTCTTATGTATC